AAATGTTCCTAATAATATTTTCTTATACTAGGGCTTGCCTCTTACAGGTTCTACCTTTAACATGTGGCCTTTGGGGGGAGGGGGGTATTTTAGATCCAAACAAAAACAGTCAATCAATATAACATTCTTAAAATGTGTGGCAATCTTTTTCATCTTGAGATGTCAAACTGGAAACACTGAAGGCACATGTCATCAGTTTCTGCAATGAAAAGAGTACCAGAATGTAGATCAATTCATTGTATATATCTATAGACAGTTAGTAAGGTTTTATTAGATAATATGAGATCAAATTCAGTAAAAATAATTTTAATAATGGCATGGTGTTGCACACCTCTAATTCCAGGTGCCTGAGAGGCTGAGGCAAGCAATTTCAAGGCTAGTCCAAGTAATTTAGCAACCCTGTTTCAAAATCAGAAAATTAAGATCAAGGATTGATAATAGTTAAGTGGTATTTACCTAGAATGCATGACACCCTGGGTTCAATAATCAGTACAGGGATGGGGAAAGGGTAAATTTAATGACTTAGTTGCAGTAGATTTGTAAAGTATTACCATAAACTCTAAAACATTTTCATTATTCCTCAAAAGACATTCTTTACTCGAGTCCTTGAAATAACTGATCTTTTTGTCTTTGCAGATTTACCTATATTGTAGACATTTTGTAAGCAGCTTTTTGTGACTTGATGCTTTTGCTTAACATAATGTTTTCACAGTTTAACCATGCTGTGGCATAAATTAGTGCTTCATTTCATTTTTTTAGTAAATAATTACCATGTGGATTTTTTTAACCTGCCCAACAACTAATGAATATTCAGCTGTTTAACTTACTGGGTATTTTTAGTTATTCCACCATGGACATTCACATCATAGATTTTCTGTGGGTTATTTTGTTTTGTTTTAATTCTCTTGGCTGTATGCCTAGGAATAGAATTATTAGGTCTTGTGATAATTCCTACAGTTTGAAGAACTGCCAGATAGTGTTCCAAAGCTTTGACACTATTTTACATTCCCATTGGTAATGTTTGTTATTCCAGTTTCTTTGCATCCTTATCGGCACTTGTTATTTCTCATTTGGTTTTTATTGTAACCACTCTTGTAGGTGTGGATTAGTATCTCAGTTTGGTTTGGTTTATAACTCACTAGTAAGAAATGGTTTTGAACATCTTTCATGTACTGCTTGTGTATCTTCTAAGAAATGTCTATTCAGATTTTTTACTCTATTTTGTCTCCCTTCCTTCCTTCCTTCCTTCCTTCCTTCCTTCCTTCCTTCCTTCCTTCCTTCCTTCCTTCCTTCCTTCCTTCCTTCCTTCCTTCCTTCCTTCCTTCCTTCCTTCCTTCCTCTTTTTGTTCATCACTGCCTTAGCCTCTTCAATTCTGCCTCTTTCCATAGCACATGAACCAGTCCACTTCTCTTTCTCTCCCATTTCTCCACTATGTATTTGTTCATTATAATGGCTCCTACCTGTCTGGAGCTGCAGGGATGTCTTCAGGCAGTTTGGGCCATGAAGACCCACCACCTGGGTCAAGAGAACCCAGGTGGGCCTGTGTTCCTCTTTTGATGTTTAACTGGGCCTGTGTTCCTCTTTTGATGTTTAACTTTGAGACAGCATCTCACCTAAGTTGCATAGGTTAGCTTTGAACTCTTTCTATAGCCTAGTGTTCATTTGATAGCTTTGATCTTGAGAATAAATTTGAACATGATTTATTTTCAAAATGAATTAAATGTCAGGAGATTTTGAGATTCAGGGAAAAATAGAAAAAGAATAAATATAAAGAATGCAATATGCTGGGTTTTTTTTTTTACATGTTCAAATAGTAGTTTGAACAATCAGCATTTGATGGGGAAGGCTGTAATTAGGAATCTATAATGAGAAAGGATTCTTTAAAAGAATAAACTATTAGCCGGGCAGTGGTGGCGCACGCCTTTAATCCCAGCACTCGGGAGGCAGAGACAGGCGGATCTTTGTGAGTTCGAGGCCAGCCTGGTCTACAAGAGCTAGTTCCAGGACAGGAACCAAAAAGCTACGGAGAAACCCTGTCTCGAAAATAAAAAAAAAAAAAAAAAAGAATAAACTATTTTAACTTATAGCTATAGTTATTTCAGAAAGAAGATAGTAGCTACACATCATCTAAGCCCTACCTAGTTTCGTTGTTGACACTGAGATTGGTGTGATCTGGCATTCTGATGCTGTGTAACTCATTCCTGAATTGTTTTGTTTGTTTTTCGAGACAGGGTTTCTCTGTAGCTTTGGGGCCTGTCCTGGAACTAGCTCTTTTAGACCAGGCTGGCCTCGAATTCACAGAGATCTGCCTGCCACTGCTTCCTTTACATTCTCTCTCTCTCTGTCTCTGAGTGTGTCACATACATGCACATATATTATCAATTATCACTTCATATTCAGAGTCATACAAATGGAATCATTCATTTCAAATAAGTATGGCAATGATTGTTGCCAAGGTCTATAAAACGTAATATGCCTGCAACTTTTCTGGAAAATAAAATTATTCTTGATGCAGTATAATGTTTTATACATATTTTATCTTATGCTAAACTTATTTTGGAAAATAAATTGAGAAATACTGTTTTTAAAATTAACATTTAAGGAGCATGTAATTACAGCGTATGTAGGTCAAGTTTCCAAACGTAATAAACTAATGTCCTATAACATTTTTTCCATTGAAAAGTGAGAGTATTTATAGTATTTTCAGTATTTATTTTGTAATAACTTAAGCCCTTAGCTTAAAACCCTGTTTTATATTATAAAGAAGTTATAGTCAAAGACTGAAGTCTTATATCTTTTGTGAATGACAGAGCAAACTCTAGGTCTTATGTGAGTCTCCTTTATTTTATAGGCCTATGAAGAGTACACCAGCAAGCTAGATGCCCTCCAGCAAAGAGAACAACAGCTATTGGAGTCCCTGGGGAATGGAACTGATTTTTCTGTTTCTAGCTCAGCGTCAATGGACACCGTTACATCCTCCTCTTCCTCTAGCCTTTCAGTGCTACCTTCATCTCTTTCAGTTTTTCAAACTCCTACCGATGTATCAAGAAACAACCCCAAGTCACCACAAAAACCTATTGTTAGAGTCTTCCTGCCCAACAAACAGAGGACAGTGGTGAGTCAATGTTTATTCTAATGTTTTTACTATTTCTTTGCGTTGAACATTCTATCACTGCATATTCAGAGCCATGAAAATGGAAGTATCCATTTCAAACAAGGATACAAAAGACATAGATTGTTTTGTGCCAAAGTCTATATAGTTACCAAATTTCTTTTCAAATTTTATTTGGTTTCTCTTTTCTCTTCTCTCTTCTCTCTCCTCTCCCCTTTCTCTCTTGAGACATGGTTTTATTATGTAGCCTTGACTGGTCCAAAACACGCTATGTGGATGAGACTAACGTCCAGTTAACAGAGATCTGCTTGTCTCTGCCTCTCAAGTGTTGGGATTAAAGGTATATGTCCTGGCATTCCATCAAACTTCAACTTCAATGGCACTTTAATATAAGTAGCAGTTAAGATTCAGTTAGGAGACTGAAGAGATGGCTCAGTAGTTAAGAGCACTGGCTGCTCTTGCAAAGGACCTGGGTTCAGTTCCCTGCACTTTTATGTTGAATCACAACCATCTGTAATTCCATTTTGGGGGAACTTAATGCCCTTTTCTGGCCTCCAAGAATACCAAGCACACATATAGCGCCCTTTTAGACAGGCAGGCAAAACACTCAAAAGTATAAAATAAAATTGAATAAACCTTTTTTTTAAAGGTGATGAGAATTTCATGATTTAAGCTTGTATCAGCTAAGATTTCTTCCTCTAAGTAATCTCCATTCTAAGGTATCAGAAGTTAACTTTCAGTGTGCTTGATATTTCTCCTCTTATTTATATAACGTTTTAAAATTTATGACAAGTATCATTGTCAGGCGGGGCTGGCACATGCCTTTAATCCCAGCACTCAAGAGGCAGAAACAGGCAGATCTCTGAGTTCAAGGCCAGCCTGGTCTACAGAGCAAGTTTCAGGATGTCCAGGGCTACACAGAGAAACCCTGTCTCAAAAAAATCCACAAAACCAGGTATCATCAATAGAAACTGTGTACCAGTAAGAAACATTTAAAGCAGTAAAATCTGCTGAGTTATTATAGATGATCTGAAGACTTTAAGTAAAGCAAATATTGTCAACCTTAGTAAATAACATTCCTGTAACTTAAGCCAGTAATTTTTTTAATGTATATGGTTGCTTTTCTAATAATGTGTGTGTGTGAGTGTGTGTGTGTATGTGTGTTGCCCACAGAGGGCAGAGAAAGCATTAGATTCCTTTGATGTTCTGTTTCTCATAACTCCAAATTCCAAATGTCCCTCAATAGGTAAACTGTTAAACTAGTCCCTGATGTATATACCTATATCCCAGCAACTGGGACACAAAAGCAGGTAAATCAGTGTAACTCCAAGACCAACCTGATCTATATGTGAAGTTCTAGGCTAGCTAGATCTACAAAATGAGACCCTGTCTGAAAAGTAAAAAAAGCTAAAAACAAATGTGAATTTTAAAAACAAAATTGTGATATATCTTTGTAAAGAATATCATTTTGATAGAAAGAAAAGTTGCTGGTATTCCCATCATACTTCATAGATAAATCTCAAGAAAAGTGTGCTATAGAAAAGAAGACAGATTAACAATAGATACATACTTTGTAATTCCATTTATATAAAATTCTAAATATACTCTTGGCCATAAGTACTGTATTTAAACATAGTTGTCAGTTTCTTCTTTTTTTTTTTTTAACATGGGGTCTCAAAATGATATTCCTTTCTACCCTGTATATCTTTCTACCTCTGCTTCCCTCATATGTCAGGATTATATCCTAACAAGTATATCCTAGCATGCCAAGCCTAGATGTCATTTTTGGGGGTTTTGTTTTGTTTTCTTGGTTTTTTGTTTATTTGTTTTTTGTTAGGTTTTAGGGGGGTTGTTTTTTGTTTTGGTTTTGTTTGGTTTTGGTTTTTCGAGACAGGGTTTCTCTGTAGCTTTGGTTCCTGTCCTGGAACTAGCTCTTGTAGACCAGGCTGGCCTCAAACTCCACAAAGATGCGCCTGCCTCTGCCTCCTGAGTGCTAGAAGTAAAGGTGTATGCCACCACCCGGTGTCATTTTTTTTTTTTTTTTTTTTTTTTTTTTTTGAGAAACGGTTTTCCTATAACAGCCTTGACTGCCTTGGAACTCACTCTATACACCATACTTGAATTTACAGAAATTTGCCTGACTGCCTCCCAAGTGCTGGGATTAAAGGCATGAGCCACCACACCCAGCCATTCTTTTTTTTAAAAAAAAAAAAAAAAAAAAAAAAAAAACTTTTTTTAAGATTAATTAATTTATTTATTTTATGTATGTGAGTGTTCTATCTACATGTACACCTGCACACCAGAAGAGGGCTTTCAATCTCATTATTACAGATGGTTGTGAGCCACCATGTGGTTGCTGGGAATTGAACTCAGGGCCTCTGGAAGAGCAGCCAGTGCTCTTAACCTCTGAACCATCTCAGTAGCGCAATACTTAATACAGGTAGGCCGCACACATACCAACTGAGGAATATATAGTTTTTTTTTTGAGGATACTTAGAGATAGGATCTCTCACTGGTCTGAAACTCACCATGTAGGATTAAACTGGCTGGCCAGCGAGCCCTAAAAATCCACTGTTCCCTGCCTTCCCAGTGATGGGATTATATGCACATGCCACCACATCCAACTTACATTTTTTGGTTGAGACAGGGTCTGTGCATAGCCTTAGCTTTTCTGGAACTCGCTGTGTAGACCAGACTGACCTCAAACTCACAGAGATCCTTCTGCCTCTGCTTCCTGAATGTTGGAATCAAAGATGTATTCCACTACTCCTGGCTCACATCTAACTTTTTTACATAAAGTCCCAAAATTCAGCTCAGGTTATCAAGCTTATGTGGTACACACTTTATTAACTGAGCCATCTCTCCCCAGCCCTTTGGGTGTTTTTGAAACTTGTAGTCCAAGCTGGCCTTTAAATTTGTTAAATTTGTTACCCTTTTTTTACTATGATAAAGACCATGGCCAATTAGAGAAGGAAAGAGTTTATGTGGTTTACACTTCTACATCACAGTTGACAGAATTTAGCGTAGGAACTCAAGGCAGGAATCTGAGGTAGGAACTGAAGCAGGGGCCACGGAGAAGCACTGTTTACCGGCTTGCTTCCCATGACTTCTCAGCCTGCTTTCTTATCCCATCCAGAACCTTTTGCCCAATATAGCACCACCTCCAGTAAGCTAGGCCCTCCACATCCAACATTAATCAAGGCATTTTCTCATTTAAGATTTTCTTTCCCAGATAGGAAACCAACCAGCACACTGTTGAGTCTCAACTTTTTAACTCAAAACAATCCTCTTGCTAAAATGATATTCTTTGGAATGACTTATTCTGATCTGTAACCACTTACAAAAAAATGATAAATATCTATTTTACAGGTAAGTCCTATAAAACATTTAAAGAATTATAGAATACCAGTCACAAAGTTTATATCCTGGACCACATGAGAGTCTGTCTCAAAAAAAGAAAAACAATAGTTGTTTGTAGTTTTTCTTTTTTAGATATTTGGGAAGTTCTAAATACTTGGGAAAGTATTGAGAACCATATATTGCATAGCTCTTAGTCAGCTATAATGAATAAATTATTAATATTTGCTTCATATTCTCCATACACAAATTATATTCCCTTATCAATCACATTCTCCTGTTGAACATCCTGTTCCCTAATAAAAATAACCCCTATGATAAATGTGGTAATATCAGTCTCAGTTTATTACATATGTATCTATGTTAGTATTTTGTTTTGTTTTTGTTTTTTTTTTTTTTATAATTACAAAATTTATTTGAAAGTCACGTCCAACAAATATAAAAATCCATCAGTCCGCTATAATTTTTTAATGGGATTGCCTTCCAACATAGAAGTACATGAAAAGGAAGAGGATGAAGTCATTATTTACTTCGACCTGGAACAAAGTGCAGCTTTTCTCAAGTGTTTAAATAAGTCACCACTTACAAGACATTTTTAGGAGGAACATGGTAAAATAAGCACACTTCACATGCGGCCTTTACAAAACTCTAACTTTGAGGCAAGACATTTTGATCTTAGTTGAGTTAAAGGTTCATATCCTCAATTCATTCTCACTTTTGTGTGCATGGGATGTATGTGCAGATGTGTGGGTGTGCATACACCTGTGGATGTGTAAACAGAGGCGAGAGGACAGGAGTTCTCTTCCACTGCTTCTCTCCACCTTGTTTTTTGACACAAGGTCTCTCACTGAACCCGATGATCACCATTTAGGTTATGCTGGCTGCCCGACATATTCACAGGTTCCACTTGTCTGTCCCATGATGCTGGGATTACAGGGATGTCTGTCTGGTTGTTTACTTTCAGTTATATGGCACCTGTTTCTCTCTCTCTCTCTGTATGTATGTGTGTGTGTGAATATATATGCATGTGTATATGTTTGAATAGTATTTTGTTTTTTTAAGTGATAAGTAGGATAGTACCATATGTATGTCCAGGATTTTATTCAAAATTCGGATTTCAAGATATGCATTTATATTTGTTAATTTAAGAAAATTTCAATCCCAGCACTCGGGAGGCAGAGGCAGGCGGATCTCTGTGAGTTCGAGACCAGCCTGGTCTACAGAGCTAGTTCCAGGACAGGCTCCAAAGCCACAGAGAAACCCTGTCTCGAAAAAACAAAAACAAAAAAAAAGAAAAGAAAATTTCATCAGCCATTCCATTTTTGCATGTCCTTTCTCTGGTAGATATCTATTATCATCATTATTGTTATTATTACTGTTATTTCAAACAGACAAGTGGTGGTGGCTCACACCTTTAATCTAATACTTGGGAGTCACGTGCCTTTAATCCCAGTACTAGGGAGGTGGAGACAGGAAATGATATGGCTGGGCAAAGGGAGAAATATAAGTCTGGAGGAAACAGGAATTGAAGGCATTCAGTCTGAGGAGTTGTAGACACAGGATACCCCATTTAGTCTGAGGGTTTCATAGAGGTAAGAACTAGTGGCTGACTGCTCTGCTTCTCTGATCTTTCAGCTTCTACCCCCAAATATCTGACTCCAGGTTCTTTTTATTAAGACCAATTAGAATTCGCACTACACTCGCCAGTATAAATAAGTAGGCTTAAAGTAGTAGGTTAAGAATTAAAGGATATTATTCACTAGAATAAATGGTACAGCCCCAGGAAATACCTTCCCTCTGTATTGTTGACCACAGTGAAACAAAAACGTAAGGTGTACATTTTTTGTAGGCAGGAAGAATAATACTGGTTTCTCAAAGTTTTAACAAGTTTTTTTTAACTGATTAACCTGTTTTGTTTTGATTATCACCACAACTTATTAGAAAAAAAATATCACTTTCATAAATCCATTCTGTTGACCCTGGTTCTTTATAAGTTAAATTCAGTTTTCCCAGGAAGCACTTTAATTCTAACATTGTCTTTACTCTGTGAAGTGTTTTGGGGTGTAGAGAGAGTTGCTCTTCTTTCTTTTCTTTCTTTCTCTCTTTTTCTCTCTCTCTCTTTCTTTTTCTTTCTTTTCCCCCAAGACAGGGTTTCTCTGTAGCTTTGGAGCCTGTCCTGGAACTAGCTCCTATGGACCAGGCTGGCCTCGAACTCACAGAAATCTGCCTGCCTCTGCCTCCTGAGTGCTGGGATTAAAGGCGTGCGCCACTACCACCCAGCTTTTTGAGAGGTGCTCTTCTTACTCTAATAAGACTATGTTGTAAGCATAGCATATCACAGTTTTCCTTAAAAACATTGTGATTAGTTTAACAAAGCTGAAATAGATTCAATATCAAGATTAATTATCATAAAATCAGAAAGCTATGTCTTAGTTAGGGTTACTATTGCTGTGATGAAACATGATGACCAACTTGGAGAGGAAAGAGTTATTTGGCTTAAATTTCCACTGAAGGAAGTCAGGACAGGGCAGGAACCTGGAGACAGCTGATGCAGAGGCCATGGTGGGGTGCTGCTTACTGGCTGTTCCTCACACCTTGCTTAGTCAGCTTTCTTACAGAACCCAGGACTACCAGCCCAGGGATAGCACCGTCCATCCTCCCTTATCAGTTACTAATTGGAAAATGTACTACAGGCTTATACCTGCAGTGCATTATACTTTAAGTGGGTGAATGTTGTGTTTTGCATGTATGTCTGTTCATCATGTGTGTGCCTGGTCCTTGTGGGGTCAGAAAAGGACATCAAATCCCCTAAGACCAGGTGTTACAGGCAGCTATGAGTCACTGTGTGGGTGCTGGGAATTGAACTTGGGTCCTCTGCAAGAGCAGCGAGTGCTCTAAACCGCTAAGCCATCTCTGCAGCCCTTACAGTTTAGTCTTATTGTCTAAGTCTTTTTTGTCAGTTGAGGGTCCCTTCTGTCAGACGATTATAGTTTATGTTAGGTTGGCATAAAACTAGCCAGCACAAGCTATAAATTTAAAGTTGTGTTCAGATCTACATATTGGTTTGCATATGTATTCTGTACAAGTTTATTTAAGGGCTGACTAATCATGTTTATATATATCATGAGCTTGCCTTTGTCCTACCTAGCCTACCATGAAACATTTGTAGTCCAGAATGCTGGGAAGCAGGAAGGACAGGAATGTAGACTAATTCTTGGGTATATAATAAGTTTGAGGCCAGACTGGACTACATGAAATCCTGTCTTGATAAGAAAAAAGAAAAAAAAAAAAGAGGTACCAGCACAGATATTTCAACATATAATATTTTTGATGTCCAACCAAATTTTAAGGTGACTCCTTAAAGTTTTGTAAAAAACTTTATATTATAGAAGAGTTTAAGCATAAAAGTAATAAAGTCTCATGGTCCCTTAATCAATAATTATTTCATTTTTTATTATAAAATTTGAACAGAACTATTTTGTTTAGGTGTGAATTTTCCTATGGCAAATAAGTATTCAGATGAGTACATATATTCTTATTGGCTCAGTAACATGAACTCATGGCTGACATCCCTATGACTGAGGCCTGAAGTAAATTTCCCCAACACACATATGTACTGAGTCTCTGTCCTGCTAGCCAGCTCCCAAAAAATGACATGGAGACTTCTTATGAAGGAAATAATAAGTTTGGCCCATAGCTTAGGCTTATCCCCAAGTAGCTTTTATAACTTAAATTAACCCATTTATATTAATCTGTGGTGTTATCTCTTTTCCATATTGCACCTCCTTTTTCTCCCACTGTATCTCCTGTGCACCTAGATTCTCTTCTTTCTTTTGGCCGTTCATCTTTTATCTTTTATTACACCAATCACAGCAAATACTTCTTCACACAATGTACAAATACCCACAACACACACACACACACACACACACACCTTCCCTGCCATACTCTTTACAGCCTTCACTAGACTTAGGCTTTAAATAGCATTTCAGTACTATTATTCTGGGAAATTATCTGAAAGCACAAGTTTAGAAAATGTATCACTAGACTGAATTGCACACAGATTTATATTACGAAAGCAGAAAGGTGTAGGCAAACTGTCACTTTGTTCAACCTTAGCTAGGAAAGTACATAAATTGGGTGACAGGTTTTTCAGTGATCTTCATGTATCCATAAAAACAATAAAGGTTTTTACATTTTCTAATGAGTAGACAAATGCACACATATATTTGCCACAAATAATGAAGATTTCCTATGTAAACCTAGTTACTTCTTCCTGAATACTTAAAATAATGATAGCCCACTCCACGTGACAAACTTAAAATAGGACCTCACTCTGTTACCCTGTGTGGCCTGGAGCTCACAGAGATAGACCCTCTTACTTTTGCCTCCCAAGTACTTGGGTTAAAGGTACACACTACCACACCTGGCCATAGTTTCAGTGACTACATTAAACTGTGCTTATTATTTCTAAACATAGAGCCTACCTAATTCATCTTTCTAGATCGTTCCCCTTTGGTATACTATTTAAATCAGCCGCTTTATGTTCTGTTTGATTCCACTAACAACCCTAACCCCACCTCCACCCTAAACATAAAAATTCTAAAATTTTCAGAAACTATGGAGTTGCTAAGTAAGTTAAAGTGACTGAAGTGACTGTAGTAATTAATCTTAGACCTCCTAAAACATCCTTTCCTAATGAGAGCTACTCCTTGTTTTCTCGCTGCCTTTCGTTAGTTTGCCAAATTTGACTGGGTAGATGATACATGGGGATACATGGGAAGAGCTTTGTGATAGGATTAACCATGGTTTTCCTTTGCCTAGTCCTCTGCTCTCAGTGTTCCAGGAAATATGTATTCAGTTGGCACACTCTTAACTACAGTAAAAACAGGAGCATCTCTCAACCAAAGTCCATGTCTCAGTTTAAAGAACTCAGGTATTGTTTAGGAAGTCATAAATTTAGTCTTGTACCTGCTAATATCATTAGCAGCTGATTAACACATGTATGTCATCTGTTGCCAGAAAAAGTTATTCATAGCCACAACAGTAATATGAGATTCTAGAGAAGGGCAAGTGCCCAGATAGAGACACTAAAGAATTAAACATCAAATATCAGATCAGTATCTGTCTGTCTGTCTGTGTGTCTGTCTGTCTGTCTGTCTGTCTGCCTCCCTGTCTGTCTGTCTTCTGTCTCTGGGTGGGTGGGCAATGATGGTGTATGTGCATGTATGTATGCCTGCTAGTGCATGAGCTTGTAGAGACCAGAAATCAATGGGAGGTGTCCTTATAACTTTTCATCTTGTTTTTTGAGACAGGATCTCTCTGTGAACCTAGAACTCACTCTTGCCACTAGATTGGCTGACCAGTGAGGCCCCTTTCCCCAGGGTCACACTGGAGTTACAGATGTACTGCCACACTCAGCTTATTAGTGGGTACTGAGGACCCAGACTCAGTTCCTCATGTTTGAGCAGCAAAAACATTAGCTGCTGAGGTGCCTCTCCAGCCTCCGCATATATCCTAGGGCACATATCTTATTCTGTTTTGTTTATAGTGGTAGTAAGGCATCTCTTAATGATCATTAATATAACTGAAGGCTTATACAGCTTTCACGGTGGGTTAAAATTGATTTTACAGCTAGATATGGTAGCATACACCTGTGCTTACAGCAGTTGAGAAGCTGACATAGGAAGATCTAGAGCTCCAGACTGACCTGGGCTACAACAGTCACTGTCTCAAAAACAATTTTTTTTTTGAGTGTTGACTTTTAAGTGTTGTCAAGGGCAGGACCATTGTACTGGTGTATATAGTGTAGAAAATACTATTATATTTTCTGCTCATATATATGTACATGTAATTTAATAAAATACTTACCAGTCTTTTTTTTTTTCATTTTTAATTTTTATTTGAGACAGGTCTGTGTAGTCCTGACTGCCCTGAAGCTCGATATATAGACGAGGCTGGACTTGAATTCACAGAAATCCTGCTGTCTCTGCCTCCCAAGTGCTGGGATTAAAATCATGTACCACCATGCTCGGCCTTAATTTGATAAAATAATAATAACTTGATATAATTTTCCTTGAATTATAAGTAGATTATAGGCATGATACTGTATTTCACTCTAGGAGTCCATATAGTATTTTAATGATATAAGGTAAATGACTAAGTTTTAAGAATATTATTTGAAAGAAAACCTCCTTCTTTTTACCTCTTACACATATTTATGTCATAGGTACCTGCAAGATGTGGCGTTACAGTCCGTGACAGTCTAAAGAAAGCACTGATGATGAGAGGTCTTATCCCAGAGTGCTGTGCTGTTTACAGAATTCAGGATGGGTATGGTTTGTATGTGTTGTGTGATTTTCTTTGTAAAGAAATGAAACATCGAGCTTTGAGTTTGTTTTGTAGTCTTGATCCATATCCAGGGAATTGAAAATCAACCAGTCCTCAGGGACTGGAGAGATGGCTCAGTGAGAATACTGGCTGTTCTTCCAGAGGACCTGGGTTCAATTTCCAGCACCCACGTGGTTGACAGCTCACAGCCAACTGTAACTCCAGTTCCAGGGAATCTAAAACCCTCTCATGATCTCCTCAGGCATGTATGAGGTGCACAGATTTATATGCAGGCAAAACATCCCTATACCTTAAGAAAGAAGGAAGGAAATATTTTTTACTAAAAGATTTAGAACATCAACTTTAAAAATCGTACTAATACCATTCTTGAAATCTTGAAGGTCATTGGTCATTTGTGTGGTTTTACTATTTATTCCTGTGCAAAGTCTTTATTAGAGTTTATCTTTTTTTTTTTTTTTTTTTTTTTTTTT